CTTGTATAAAGCTTGCTAGGTGCACCAGCAGGACCCGCATGCAAAAAATACCTTCCTGGAGAGATGGTAAGATGATTTCTATGGCCTGCTATTTGACTGATGGTCTCTGGGATGGAACATCGATAGGCTACTTGATGAGCAGAGACTGTAGAGCTGTCTGGCCTCTGGTTAAAACGTGTTTCTCATCTTGGGTTCAGGCATCTCAAGTTAATTATAAAATAGCTTGTTCCCTTTTGCAAACCTCGCTTTGCTCTGAGGGAGTCTTGCTGTCACCATATGAAGTATTCATCTTGAGGCGGAGCCGTGGCTTAAAGCAGATGGCACAGCTGTGACTCCAGGCACTGAATTTTCTAGCTGACTCCAGCAGCTGAAGCAATGAGGTGAGTAGCTACTGTCATGTGATGGGCTGGACTGGGAATGAGAGGCTGACCAAGGCAGGAGGGCAGCAGCAGGAGTTGTAAGATCCACTGGGTGCCTTCTGGAGGCAATGGAGGTGTCAGATGCGTGGACCCACAGGATGAAGAGGAGATCACGTCTCTGCAAGGGCAGTGTCAGGAGTCCAGGGGAGGGAGGCCAGCTGCGATGGTAGTGGCTGTATCCAGGCCTTTGGAGTTCACAGCCAAGGGAAGGTTGTAGAGGAGGAGCCCTACATTGCATGGAAATAGCCGGTGGGCTGCTGGGGAGGCTGGTAGCATAGCACAGAGAGCTTGCTGCCAAGCTTCTCTAGGGATGAAGCCTACTGCATGCACAGGCCTTTAAAGACCAAATATAGCCAGTAGCTATGAGAAGCACAATGCATTGCCTACTGTGCAGGGACTGTTCCTCCTCCAGCAGCCCTTCTCCCACAGCTGCCCTGTGGGCGACTCACCAGATTTGCCCATCCTCTGCCTGTTCACCCACAGTGCCTCTTTCCATTCATTCTACCAAATGAAACCCAAATGTCCTTTGTCTTTCCTACACACCTTCACTTTCACTGCTGTCATTGTTTTCTCAGTGTTCAATTTGCCTCTGGCAAGACTGGGCAGAGAAGGCTGAGCTGGGAGGAACTGAATTATACCACTGTGTGATTCACAAAGATGACTGTGGAAATACCCAAACCTGGCACTGTGCAATTAAGCTCTGTGTCAACCTGCCATCCCGATTTTTCCTGGAAATCTTGTATCTGGCTGCATTCTCTGATGCGTAGGATGCTCTCTGATGTTTTGGGATTTATGGGGTACAGTATTACCACAACCCAGTCAGAAGATGTTTATTCACAGCGTTAGGGGGGGATGGATGACATCAGAAAATCAGACAAGGATATCTCATTATAGAATAAGAATCAAACAGGAAGAGAAAATAATTAATCATAGCCAAACAGGGGTCAGGGGTTGGAAGTAATTCAGGAGGGAGGCAGGGAATGTTTGAAGAAGTAAAAATAAAAAGTCAGTAGGGCTCTGGATAGAAGAAATGGACCAAGTTCAGTGCATCACTCAAGGCGGAATAATTGGAAATGTAACATTGCTCAGAGAGGGTCAAGTGGTGGCAAATTTCAAGAATACTCTTTTAAAGTGTATTCTAGGGAAAAGGCAAGGTTGGCAACAGAGGAATTGGTAGCTGGAAATAGAGAGGAGACCTCAGCTGAGAGGATAAAGGGGCTGAATGAAGTTGTCTCAAAGGCGTTAACATCAGAGGCTGTGAAGTAACAGAATAAAACAACCAGGAGGCTGCACTGAGCAGAGGAGGGAGGTCACCTCTCAGGGTGTGCTTGCTAAATGTTTGAGGCTCAAGGAATCAGGCTGACTATTCCTAGCATTTTAAGACTTCACTAAAATTAACCTCCCAGTCATTTTTGATGGGAGCCCCTTGCCGTGCTGGTTTACTCTGATGCTCCTTTCCTCAAAGGCCACCTGCAAACAGGGCAGGCCAGGCAGGCTTAGGAGAATTCATCACTGGGGACAGCAGCTTACCTTGTCAAGGGGAATGGTTAACATATGGGTTTGGAGAGAGTAGGAAATATCTCTGGCTGAGGACTTGATCCTAACTGGGAAAGCACAGCTGCCTTAGGCAATGTATGTAGTGCTTCGTATGTGCCTCATTCCTGTGCACCCCAAATTAGCTCAGAAAGCACTTTTGTTCCCTTCTTGAGGATGCACTGAGGTTCCCCTGGTGTCTGGTTTGCCCCTTGTCTTGTCCTTGTGCTTAACTTCCTGCTTCTGAATGTGCTGTGCTAGAAGAAACTGATTCTTTTCCAGGACTACAGGATTACTTAAGTCAGTGTTTCTCCTGCCAGCAAGAACAGTTTGTTTTATCCCCAGAGAGTGCTTTCAGGACAGTGCAACATTCGTGGCCAATCCTGAGCAGTTGATACACACCAGAGAAATCAGATGAAGATTAAATCCAACTGTTCTTCAGCTTTCTGGCAAAGCTGAGTCAAAACAAGTGGTGGCAAAAGTTAAAGGTGTTACTTCAGGGATGAATTTGGACCTGCATGACTTCAGATTGGAGCTTATGCTGCACAAACTTTGCCCTTTCAGCCAGGGCTAGGGACATTTTCACCAGGCAAATGTCAGTCCCTTACTGCTTCTCTTGGCTGGCAGAGCAAGGGTACTGCGCTCAGCTTCATGCACCTGTAGATCTGTGGACCCTCCAAGCAGGGATGGCAGCAGGTCTGAGCAAGGAGCTGCTGCTTTCTGCTCCGGTGGAGAGGCCACAATTAGCACCCATTTGTTTTCAGCTATCAAGCCTATGTCCCTTAGATTATTTATGTAACCTGGAAAATTCTGTAGGTTCTGCTAATCAACTCCATCGCTGGTAATTACCATGTTACATCATTCCTCTCCAAGCCTGATCCTTTATTAGCATACTCCAGGAGCCATCTGCCCATCCAAATCATCTGCAGCCTCAGGGGAGCTGCAAGGGACGTGACATCCTCACAACACAACCTTGTTTGTCAGTGGCATAGTAAGAAGGTTGAGAGGGATGGCAATGGCCTTCCCTTGACAAGTTCAGTGCAGTGAACATGAGCAGTGCTTGGAGAAAGGGGACCTGTGAGTTACCATCCTGTCCCACAGCACCCTGTGCTTTCTTCTCTTAGCCCATTCTCTGAGCCCACCAGAGCCCTCAGCCCAGTGCTGGCCTAGGCCAATCATGGCAGCTCCCTCCTTTCCTTTCATTTCACATTTCCATGCAATTTCCCTGGCTTTCAAGAACAAGACTTCCAGGCACAGGTAGAAGTAATGTAGTCCCTTAGTAAAAGGGCTGTTTGGGGGTTGGGTTGGGGTTTTTTTGTTTATTGTTTGTTGTTGTTTTGTTGGTTTTGTTGTTGTTGTTGTTTTTTGTTGGTAGGTTGGTTGGTTTGTGTTGTGGATTTTTTTATTTTCTTGGAAAAAGGCTCCGTTTTGTTTGGCAGGTCCCTGATACAAAGCATCTGATAATTCCACCATTATTAAATACCTTTAGCAATAAATCACTGAAGATGGAAGTCAAGGTAAAATCAAAAGATACCAAAGGAATAGACTAAAAATAGGGTGAATTGTGAAAGGGTTGGAAAGAGGACACTCCTACAAGTGTCATGCACGGCTCTGAGCTTACTGAGCATTTTCTTTAGCGAGTTGGTAAGAAGAGTTGCTGTGCTGCAGGGAACTGCCCAGCAGGAGACAGAGCTGCACATCCAGGGGAGCAAGATGGGGGAACTGACTCATAAAGACATGCGGAAAACCACCAAGTGAGGTTTATGCAGCGCTTTGCTCCATACCTGCAGCAAAACAGAAGGGGCCCAGAAGGTGGCCCTGTGTCTGACAGGTGAAGCATCACTGTCTTAACAGGTTTCAGGTAACTCCTGCAGTGAAAGGTGTATGAGCCTAACTTTGTTGCCATCTGAAACAGGCAGTATGGTTTATTCAAATGGAAAAAGCAAGAACAAGGAAGGGATTAAGAGTTTGCAGTGGGCTTTTGTGGGGTGAGTGTCCCTGGGAGGGATAGCAGGAAGGCCCCTTTCAGGCTGAGCCTCAGGATGGCAGATCGGAGCTCAGCTGCCACAGGTGTGCCTTGCAGCAGCAGCAGCCTTGTACTGCTGGTGCTATTTAAAAAGCAGCAGCAGGCTGAAGACTTGTGCTGAGCAATTCTGCAGAGCCAATGAAGGCACTTTCTATATGCCTGTACGTAAATGCATATCTTGAATGTGGGGGGAGCCTTGATATCTGATGGTGTCACAGAATAGCAAGCAGCTGTTTCTGTAAAGGAAGACACATAGGAGACCTCCGATGAGACTGATGAGTATTGCCATGCTTACGAGAAAGAGGAGGATGTTGCAGGCTGTCACCACCAGTGACCACACTGCACAAGCCACAACCCATCATGGGCAGGTGTTAGAGGCTGAAGCAGAGCCTCAAGTAACAACCTTGCAGCTGTGCAGTGGGATCTGCAGAAGTCACAGCCCAGCTCCTCCCCACCTGGGGCTGTGCAGCAGCAGTGTGACAGAGTTAAGGGGGTGCCAGCATAGGGCCTGCATGTGTGCCTAATGAAAATACGGGAGTGTGGCATCAGTGGGCTTGGCGCATTGGTGCCATGTGTACAACATCAGTTCTCTGGGGCTCTTTTCCTTGGGGTAGGCTGAACATGAGAGAAGCGCTGGCAGATGTTATCTCAGTGTTAGCATCTTTATTAAAACAGGTTCGGCGCTTGCTGCACTGGGGGTGGGGAGTGTAAAAATGTGGGATCCTTGCAGTGCTTTGTGGGAACACTGTGTGTGTGTGTGCGCACAGTTTGTGTTACAGGCGGCTGTGCAAAGACAGCGGGGGCCTGGCAAGATCGGAGAGATTCAGTAATAAAGAGGAACAGCGCGGGTGGGTAGGGCCGGGCCGGGCAGCGGGGCGGTGCTCGGCGGGGGCTTGACAAGGCTTAGCTGTGTGGCTCGGCCGTGCCGTGCCGTGCCGTGCCGTGCCGTGCCGTGCCGTGCCGTGCCG